TACATTTATTTATATTTCATCTGTCAATTTGTAAAAATACATGGGTGGGTCTATATAAGAAATGAGAAATATGGATGTTGCCTGTAAAAAGGGCTTTAGAGGGAACAGTAGCAATTACAATTCCTTTTGGGAAAGGGGAAGGTAAATCACTTTTTGCAGATTAAAGTAATGGAAAAATGGCAAAAGAGATGGACAAAGATAAGAAAGGAAGATGATTATATAAGGTACAAAAATCAGTATAAAAATATAATCATTAATGAGAGAAACAGAAGGGAAGATGTAATAATAATCAGATTAAGATTGGGTCATACCTATTTAAATTACGTTTTATATTTAATAGGGAGGGGAAATAATGATAAATGTGAAAGTTGTGGAGAAAAAGAAAATGTAGAACATGTACTGATGAACTGTAAAAATTATGAACATGAAAGGGAGAAATTGAGAAAGATGGTTGAAAGGACAAACAAAGAATGGAGCCTTAAAGGAATATTAAGAAATTAAGGAAATATAAAGGATATTCACAGATTAAGGAAAGCATTATTTATTTATCTACAGAATACAAAATTTAAAAAAATAGAATTTGATGTAAAGTAACGTTGCTGCACACTCATGTACAGTAGGTGGCGGTAGGCACCTTAAAGTTGCTTGCGATCCGTCATAATAGCAAAGAAGAAGAGGTTACCTGTAGTTAGTCACTTTCATCACATGGGGGCAGCACCGTATTTTCAAAGCCGGAAGCAAGGTCACGACCGAACCGGACGTTTACAGTTTAGCATTCCTACAGCGTTGTAAACTAATCCTTGTCGATATTTGGGTCTTTTTCTATTGTTGCCTTACAGTCGAATTCAACAATGTCCGAAAGAAAAGTCCTAAATGTAAGTAATCAAAAGAGAAAATATTGGTTTAACGTCAGGGGTTTCAGCTATAGCGTGAACAACTACAAGGGCTAATGTTAGCACTGCGGCGTAGAAGTGTTGTGTTTGAGCATTTCTGTTATTATTGCTTTTTTCATTGAAATGTTTTATTACGCACAATAAAAGGTTTTACTCCGCGGAAATAAAAGTTATTGCACATTTAATCTATTTCAGACAATAGTGGGCTAACTCTGCTGTATGGTTTGCTCCTCACAGAAATACTACCCCCCAGATTTCGATCCTGCCAAAATCCCAAAGCTTAAACTCCCTAAAGATCGACAGTATGTGGTCAGATTGATGGCTCCGTTCAATATGAGGTATGTCTGAATTATCTCCATGTAAAAATTTTCAATAAAATTTACTTCGATCTGTTTTTTTTTTTCGTTTTTTTTTTTTCTAATTTACTCATTCGTTTTTATGGGGAACCTATTTAGTTAATTTCAAACAGAGCTTAGACATTTAGCCTATTTTCTTTGTTTAGCCTTGCCCTACAATACACTATACTGCCAGACTAATTGATATCTTTTTTATATATGCACATCAGTCTAGATGAGATTGTATTGAATGCAATTTCTTGATGGACCTATTTTTTTTTTTTTTCAACAATGGATTTCCACAAGTTTTCAAAGGGGCTTCATGTTCACATGTGTTGCTGCTTGTAAGATAGCAAAAAAAAAAAAAAAAAATTAGGAATTTATTCACTCATTTGCCACAAAGAAAGGTTCAAGGCTTTCCCAAAATCATCAATTTCCAGGGTCATCTACTAAAAATTCAATTCAACAAAGGGATCTGATTCAGACCTGAGGTGTGAAGAAGAGCTGCATCAAGGGAGCCAGTTCATAGATTTAAGTTTTTAATTGTTGCTATTGTTTTTCTTATATAAATATATATATATATATTTTTTTTTTTTCTAAACTATATATCCATCTGTGCTGTTGGGTAATTTACTTTTTTAATAAGATGTTTTATTCTCAATAAGATACTACCTGATTGAATAAATGATAGAAATGCTAACATTAAATTATTCTTTGAATAAAAACCCTTTCTTGTCTCTTGTATCTCTTCTTACATACAGGTGTAAAACATGTGGTGAGTACATCTACAAGGGAAAGAAATTTAATGCGCGTAAAGAGACTGTTCAGAATGAACATTACATGGGACTGCCGATCTTTCGATTCTACATTAAATGCACTCGGTGTCTTGCTGAGATCACATTTAAGGTAAGAGGTATCACATTGTCATATCAATGTGGAAAAGTACTGTTTTCTTCCAAAGTCTTCTTTTGTGAATTTAACAATCGCTCGATGTGAAATCGTAGACTGACCCAGAGAACACAGACTATGCCATGGAGCATGGTGCCACACGGAACTTCCAGGCTGAGAAACTCTTGGAGGAAGAGGAGAAAAGAATACAGCAGGAGAGAGAAGATGAAGAATTAAACAACCCTATGAAGGTCTTTCTTTCATTGCTTTTTTTAATACTTTGAAGTCCTAGAATAAATAATTCAGATTTAAGTCTGATTCTTCACCAGGTATTAGAGAATCGTACAAAAGATTCAAAGATGGAGATGGAAGTTCTGGAGAACCTCCAGGAACTGAAGGAGCTGAACCAAAGGCAGGCTCTGGTGGACTTCGAGGGAATGATCGATCGCTACCGAGAGCTGGAAAAGCGAGAGAGGGAAAGAGAAAAAGAAGAGGATGAACGTGAGACAAAGTGAGTGAGGAAGCACCAGATAATACTGAAACACTGCTTCTAGTCCAGACATTAAGCTTATCTGGAAAGTCTTTGCTGTTAAACATCACATTCGTTTTTATTTTTCAGAGAGATGTTGGAACGTGCTCTTGTGAAAAGACTGAGGGACTCTGACTCTGAATCAGACGGAGAAGAGGAGAGCAGCAGGGGCCACTTAAAACAGACTTGTGCAGATAAACCAACAGATATCCTCACCGCTGATAAAGCAGCAAATCTGCAGGTTTGTGGAACCATTGCTGCGAAAACTAATATTAATAAATCAATAATTACTACTAGGGCTGCAACTAACGATTATTTTAAAAATCGATGAATCGGCCAATTATTTTTTCGATTAAT